TGCCCACCTAAATAACAGGCATTGGCCAATAACAGTCTGACAACGGCTAACCTGCAATGAAGTATTTCTCCCTTAATAATTATGCATACAATGTTTTAAGGTTTTAAACAAAGACTGGCAAAGCCAATAGCTGGGCTACAACAATGCGCTCGGGAAGAAATGACATGAGTTTGGGTCCCCTTTTGGCTTGTTATGGACTTGCAGGAGTGTTTGTTGAAAATCTTCGAAATAGAATAACTCAAGAACCGGTTGATGGACTGTGGTCAAGTATCACTTTTGCTTTTGGCCGGAATTTTTTTTTATTCGCCCTGCCTACTAGTTTGGGGTTCTTCAGTGGATGTCATCCATAGAATTAAGTCGTTGTGGCCCAGAAAGCCAATGTCAGTGAGAGATATCGCGTATTAGCCTCCTGTGCAGGCCCCGCGGCGGTGGGGAAGAGTTTTTAACGCGTTATTTTAATATAGCCCGTGGGCGGAAAGCAACCTTCTCTCGGCGGCTATGTAGGGTGGCCGGCTATATTAAAATAACGCGTTAAAAACTCTTCCCTACCGCCGCGGGGCCTGCACAGGAGGCTAGCGCGTATGTCATGTCACTATGGGACGTTGCCCTTTGACATGTACTTGCAGAACCAGTCCTGCAATGCCGCCCGAGCCATTTTGTTGCGGTCTGTCGAATCAACTGCTTGTTTTAAGGTAATCTTTTGCTTAAAATCACCCTTATGTAAGAATGATCCATTTCAAATGACAACTAATTAGGGACAGTGCAGTTTTAACGCAGATAAAATGAGATGCAATGCTCCCTCGTGAAAAGGCTTAAATAGTCTAGTAAGCAAGTGAATTTACGCCGAGCTTCTTCACGGAAGTCCGAATTGACCCTGACGTACTAGTAGGATAAACAGACCGCTACTGCCAAGCACTTCAAAATCAGCACTCCAGGGGAAATTTGGATGTACCAGAAGGGTGTTGGGACGCTCTCCTGGAAGAACTTGAACAGAACAGCCTCCAGTTTAACCCTACCTAGACCGGGCTTTTTTTTGGCATGGGGGGACCGGGGGGAGGGCTCTTTTTTGCCCCCCCCCCTCAGAACTCGAGAACGGTAAGTCGTATGACCACCAAATTTTAGAGGATGGTGTACTAGTAAAAATGTATCATATCTACAGTCTTCGTTTCGTTATGACGTAATATGACGTCATTATGACGTCATTAATGTGATTTTATTGGCCAAAACTGTCTAGATGGGTTTTTCCCTGAAAACTAAATTGTATTCAACATAACTGCACCAAAAGTGTTTATGACAGAATATTAGGGTGTACTAAGTCTTATGTTGCCCATAGCAACACAGGTGACGTCATAAAATGACGTCATGCATATTTAAGATATCCGCCATCTTGGATCATCAATCTTTTCAAAAATAGTTTTTTTCATGATAAAGCCTAAAATACATTGCAAACATACTAAAGACCTTCATTTAAACCTTTTTTGGTAAAAGAAATGGAAGTATTGATGACATTTTAATGAAAATAAGCTATATATACCTGTTCTAATGATATGGTCCGCCATCTTGGATTTTGGCCAATGACGTCATCAAATTAGCAAAAATTATGCATATTCAATGACAAAATTTACATAAAATTATATGGGATGTTATTAAAATTAGAAACCATCAGTAACTTGACATAAAACCCATAAAATTCTATTGTTGAAACAAAAAGTACTAAATTTAGCAAAAAAAGGCCTGCCAGAAACCCGTTGCCATGGCAACACAAAAATTATTATCTTCTTCCAATGATGGAGAATTGTTGCCAACAATATTCTAGAAAAGTCACCAAGTTTGGCCGTTATACGGCCTGCCGTTCAGACGCTAGCACGAAAAGTGGGATTTACCACCAAGGTAAATGTGATGTAAAGCCGGGTAAAGGTTACATTTATCAGTGATTTACCAACATTTACCCGTCGGTAAATGTGCAAATTTACCCGGTATTTACCCGCCTGGTATAGGTGGTAATGTTTGCCTTATTTACCCACATTTACCGGTTTCGTGTAAATACGTATTTAGCGAGATTTACCGTATGCGGTATTTCCCACATATATATACCGAGATTTACCATATGGGGTATTTTTCACATGCATTTCAGGCATTTACCGAGATTTACCATATGGGGTATTTCTCATTTCAGGTATTTACCGAGATTTACCTAGCGTGGTATTTCTGACATTTAGTTGAATTTACCCGTATTTATGCGTACATGCCCTTACCAGAACGACTTGCCATATTTACGCCCTTTACCCATATTTCCTTACGTTGTATCACTCCCCTGAATTACATACAAGCACAAGAAATGGGTTCTGGGCAGAACTCAGAAATATTTATTTAAAAAGCACAGAAATTAAACATAAATTGGCAGTTACCTTTTTTAAAAGGTATGCAAATAAGCATTACATACAAGTAAGTAAATGTTTTACATACAAGTTATACACTTTTTTCTTATATAATGTTCAAAATTAAACATAAATTGGCAGTTACCTTTTTTAAAAGGTATGCAAATAAACATTACATACAAGTAAGTTAAAGTTTTACATACAAGTTATACACTTTTTTCTTATATAATGTTCAAATGATCAATGACCACCTGTGTTGTACTAACAACACACAAAGACATATACATACACATGCAACAGAATAATAATAAATACAAGTAGCATTTCTCATGAACACACAGAATATCAGCAGACGCAATCTAAATATATTATTATCATTCTGTACTAACACACATACTTTGAGAAACTATACACTTGGTTTAACATGTACCAGGAAAAGTTGTCACATTTTCTATGGAAAATCTATACCAACTTGTCGTGTATATCCTGTATGATAAAACTATTCAAAGAAACACTAACATAACAATGAAATTACAAAACTGGCTTGTGATATATGGGTTGACATTCAGTGGAGCTTGCATTGTTTTGCTCTTTTTCCACAATATCAGTGACTTTTTTCTGACACAATGTAAAATGTATCATTGTCACCATATTTTCAAAAATCACTGGAGATTGGAACTGGAATACATTTTTCAGTACATGTTCTGGTAAGGCTAATATAGTAATAAGACCTTAATAGCTTGTGTCTAATCGTCTGACAACCATCAGACACAAAAACAAATCTAAATGTTTGTCAAAATAAGGTTTATAAAATACAGTAACCTATGGTCTCTATCAATACTGACCACCTGAGGCACATCACAATGTTAACTTTTGGGAAATATGATGTAGAACTGCTCATGTATAAACAATCCTATCCACATCTGACTCCACTGCTGCCATGCACACTGGGTAAGGCTGTCTGTTCTGTGTTTGCATGTTGGATGTCTTGGTGTTGGTTTGGAGTCCTTCGGAGTCAGTTCCTGTATGATTGAACAAAAGTATCATTAAACATTGATTCACATCACTGAGAAACATGTCACATGATTACGGTGCAACTTACAAAAGCACTAACTTACTTCAAGATAGCATTTACAAAACATATACAATCTAAACCAAACATCATCAGTAGACCATGTTTAGTTACACAATTTTAGGTGCAAGGGTTACTCAAGCTTTAAAATTAGGTCCAGGTCTAGACATGTACTTGAACTCTGTGTTCACATAATGGTTGAACTTTAATA